ATAATAATAATAATAATAATAATAATAATAATAAGAAGAAGAAGAAGAAGAAGAAGAAGAAGAAGAAGAAGTCTGGATCGTGGACATTGCAGTACCTGGAGACAGTAGAAGAGAAGAGAAAGAACGAGAAAATCACAAAATATAAAGACCTGCAAATAGAAGTAGAATGACTAAAGAAAGCAGAGATAGTACCAATAGTTATAGATGCCCTAGGTGCAATCCCAAAACATCTGGAGCACCACGTGAACACCATTGGTATTGACAAAATCACCATCAGTCAATTGCAAAAGGTAGCTTTACTTGGAACAGCTTATATCCTGTGACGAAAGCTTTAACACCATCAAACAACATCTACCTATCCCAGGTCCTTGGAAGAGACTTGATAGGTGGATAAAAATGCCAAATCCAGTCTGAACATCTGGCTGGCTGCACAACCAACCATAATAATTTATTACATTTATATGTCACTTGACTGCTAGTGACTCTGGGTGGTTTACAAATTGTTAAAAACATTTAAAAACAAAGAACAATTTAAAAAACATAAAAGCAACACAAAACAAAGGAAAAGAGATGGCAAACAAACCAGGATGGGAACAAGGAAAAAGAAGAGAAGGGGCACCAATCGACCTCACCAAAGGCCTGGGCGAAGAGCCACGTCTTCAGGGCCCTTCAAAATACCAGAAGAGTGGGGGTCATTCGAAACTCAGGAGGAACCTCATTCCAGAGGGCAAAGAAGATGCACTTCTGGGGTCCCAATAGATGTCATTGTTTAATTGATGGAACCCAGAGCATACCAGTCCTGTGAGATCGAACAGCCCGGGCAGATACTATGGGAAACAGACATCTATGTAGAGCTTTATTGTAGCGACCAGCACCTTGAATTGCACCTGGAAGCAAACTGGCAACCAGGGCAGAGGTATCACATGGGCATACCAAGGCATGCCTATCACAGCCCACACTCCTGCTTTCTGGACCACCTGAAGCTTCCAGGTGGTCTTCAAGGGCAGCCCCATGTAGAGTGTATTGCAGTAATCAAGCTTCATTATGACTAGGGCATGAGTGACTGTTTGAAAGGCCCCCCAAACTAGGAAAGGGTGCATTTGGTGCACCAGATGAAGGTCCTGGCCACAGCTACAACCTGCTCATCAGGCAGGAACTGTGAGTCCAGAAAGACCTGAAAATTGCACACCACCCTTGAATGGGGAAGTGCCACCTCATCCAAGGTCAAAGTTGGAATATTGCCAAATCTGGGCATTCCACTAGGGCTTGGTAGGATTGAATCGGAGATGGTTTCTCCCCATTCAAACGGTTACTTCCCTGGCTGCTTTCACCAATGAAGAAAGGGCACAGATCCCTGCTATGTGGGGAAGCTATTATAATGGAGAACCCTGTCCACTTTCTCAGTACCTTCAGGCTCAAACTCATCTCAGATGACCTTGCAAATTGTAGATTCTGCCACATCTTTAGGCCTGCCCAAGCACTGAATATATTCAAGTCATCATTTTCTCAAAATTGGGTTGGATGTACTCTTGTCTCTTGCCAGTGGCACTCTAAGAATTCTTCTGCTGTTTCATCTCTTGGAACTCCTCAGTGAAGGAGCACCCTGAGTCTCCTAATACAGGTGGTAACTTTTCCTTTAAAAACTACTTTTTTTTTTTTTGCTTTAGTGGGTCCTCTTTCTTCCAAGTCTTCTGCTGATTGGCTTCTGATAGAATACGTCTCCTGATAGATTCTTAATTCCTTTGCTATTTTCCACTTTTATTCAGTTTCCCCATCCAATCAGTCATATTGCAGATGATTGGCAGCACAGCTCTCAGACTCACTTGTTTAATGCTTAGAATGATCATGCTATTGGTCCTCAATCTTGTTATGAGATCATGCCCGTGGATTTAGTTTTCTGGGACATTTTCCTATTTGCTGAAAATATAGCTGTTCAAATTTAAGTATAAAAAACTGATTTTTCCCCCCTCATTTAGATTTGAGGGGCCTTTCTTATTTTTAAAAATTGTGTTACACATTTTTTAGGACTTACAGTATATTTTATGAGGCTTCCACCTCAATAAAGCAGAAACCATGCCACTAATTTTGGGCAGTTGTCAGAATGTCTCCAGAAAACCATTATTTCAGGGCAGCCCTAGAGACTTAGATTATTCTTCCCAGGGCTAGTAGTATCAAAAATTCACTTGTAAGATTTGATTGACTGATTATGTGCCATCAAATTGGCATCAACTCTTAGTGACCACATAGATTTTCTGTCCCTAACTTGGTCCTTCAGTTTTCCAACAATGCACCCATCACTACTGTAACTGAGTCCATCCACCTTGCTGTTGGTTGTCTTCTTCTCTTCCCTTTCACCTTTCCCAGCATTAGACCCTTCTCTGGAGAGCTAGGTCCTTGCTAATGTGTCCAAAGTTGGATAATTTGAGCCTGATCATTTGTGCCTCAAGTGAGAACTCTAGGTTGATTTGCTTGATGATCCATTTGTTTGTTTTCTTTGCTTACCACAGTATTCTGAGAAGTCTTCTCCAACACCAACATTCAAAAATAGCAATACTCTTTCTATCGACGGTTTTCAAAATCCAACTTCTGCTTCCATAAAGTGTCACAGGAAATTCCATTGCCTATGCTATTCTGATCTTTATAGTTATAGACACATCATGGTACCTGAATATCTTTCCACGGCCTTCATGACTATTCTATCAAGTGCTTGTCTGGGGTGCATTTCTTGAGTGTTTGTTTCTTTACTGTTGATGGTTGATCCTAAAAGGCAGAAGCTGTCTACCACTTTGATATTTTCATTGTTAATTCTACGCCTGGTTGTTGTATCTGTTGTCATTAGTTTGGTTTTCTTTATATTTAATCTTGGTTTTTCACTATGCTCTTGGACTTTTATTACCAGAGCTTGCAGATCCTTTGCATTTGCTAATTTGGTAACAGTCTGCATTTTGTGACTTTCTAGGTCTCTTGTATCAAGAATATCGGGATAAATCCACGCGTCATGAGATTGAAACTAGGCGGCTGCAGGATTCCCAGACAGATACTGAAGAGTGCTCAGCTACTGAAGAATCACCAACAGAAACTGAAACTACAAATGTGTTAGAAAACAAGACTGTCCCCCAGATTAACTTGCTCAGGAATTCCACATCTAGGTTCAATTTATGGCAAGATCTTCCAGAAGTCAGAAGCAGTGGTGTTCTGAATATTCTCCAGCCAGATGAAATCAAGCTTCAAGAGGTAATATCAACTTAAGTGGAGGATGATAGAAAGGGGGAATGTTCTGTTGACATTTTCATGAAAATAACTATTGGTTGATTCAGTTATGTCAGTTACAAATATGTAACTTACTAGTTTTAGTAAACATACTGCTTTATGCAATTTTGAACCAATTTCATCTTGTTATTTCTAAAAAGTTAAAGGACATTCTGATCCTGCTCAGTCTTGGTTCTAGCTGTTTTAGCAGGACTGAGCTGCTAGTGAATTAGTAATATCAGTGTGCAGAAGTTATAATCCAGGCTCAGGTTGTTTACAAGAGAAAAATCTGCTGACAAAAAGCAGAAAAACAGGTAAATTGACGTAAAAGTGGCTGGAAAAAAACCCTAAATGCATTTAGTTTGCATTAGTTGTGTGTTGTTTTAATCCAGTGCTTATGAATATGGTAAATAAAAAGGACTTTTTTGGGTGGATTGACAAATCCAGCAGTAGAAGTCATTTAAATTTAGTTAATCTTTTAACTAAAATATATATCTTATTACTAAAATGCTGGTCCATTCTTTCATGGGACACAACCTAACCTCCTATTTTGCAAAGAAATTCTAGGAAACCCAGAAAATTATAAATTAGACATCAGAGCCTGAGTAGATTGGTAGAAAGCATCATTAGGGTTTAAGTGTATTTATTTATTCATTAATTTCTGTCTCATCCCACCTTTTGGCTCAAGTAACTTACAGTTAAATTAAAATAAGAAAATACTAGATGCAGAGCATTCAGCAGCAGCAACAGGGAACAGGGAGTTAAAACAGAGCCAAGAAACACACATTCACACACACAGCAAGAAAACAATAAAGTTCCTTGAGTGTATAGAAGAAAGAGTCTTTCAGACATGGGGAAGAGTCAAGGAAAACAAGAGAAATCTGATCATCTTGCTGGAATATTTTTAAAAGCACATTTTTTTAGTACATTGATTAGTAAACACTTTATGAATTATTGATCCCGGTAGGCACTTGGGGAATTATGGATCCCAGTGTTAGAAAACAGTCTCTAGAAGTTAGATACAGTACATTTTAGAATCATTGACTATTGTACAGTGGATTGTATGAATCAGTGTTCTGTTTCAGCACAATCTTTTTATTTTCTTGCGTGGAATCATTCATAGCTTTGGTGTAGCAAAATCTTGGAATATGATTGTTAAGTTCAGAATTGCACATCATGAGAATCCATGCCATTGTAATTAATATTTTTAGCACATTTCTATCCTGTAAAAACAGCTTTGAAAAATTGTTCATTATTTCTGGACATAGAATTTAGGTCACTCTTACACTATTTTTAAAATCATGTTATGATTGAGAATACACAGAAACCAGATCAATACATCACAGAAAGTCATGATTTGCTTTAGCTTTAATTTGTTGCAGAAGCCATAATGGGCTTCTTCACACATAACTCTAAGTCAGACAGCATGGTTAACAAATTTTAGTGGCTGGATTTATATGTTATACTATGCCAAAATGAAACAAGACACAGCATGGTTTAGTGCAAGGATGCACAAAGTAAAATTCCAAAGCTGGTCCCCCAAAACAGAGTTCCTCCAAAAGTACTACTAAAATGTAATTTTTATTGTGACAGGAGAAGAAAACTATTTAAAACAAATGGGGAGCAGCATTACTATATTAATTTAACTATATTTATAATGAAATGTTTGTCCCAGCCTTGCTTACCTTTACAGAGTGTCCTTGGGAATGCTTCTCCACCCAAAAAGAATTTTTTACCGTGGGTTAGGGCAGTATAGTATGTGAGCCCAGCCTACAGACACAATGCTAAATTAGGTATAGCATCTGAAGGAGTCAGTTCTTCCCCTCACTCATGCAAGCTTGCATGCATCCTTCCCTCTTCCTCCCCTTCAGTGTAGCCAGGAGAAGGAAATGGGAACTTCTGCTTAACAGTTGGCTTAACAGTTGACTAACTCGTGTTAATGAAAAGAAGCCATCACAGTTTATGAAGCTGGCTTGCTTTCGCTAACAGTAATTAAATGTAACTACACTTTGCATAGATTTGGACAGCAGTTTGTTTTGAAAAAATGAAAGCTTCTGAATTTCTTCTCATAGATGCTCCAGGGAGGAAAAGTTGAAGAAAGACTAGGCTTATTCTGAAATCTCCAAACCAGACATGCTATAATAACATGTAGGAATCCCTTTCAGTGAATTCAGCCAAGGTTTCCAGCATTTTATTTTAAACAGTCTAAATTATATCTCTCTTAATTCTAGAGGCAGAAGGCAAAATGAGAAGATATTGTTTGTCATGTTCATTTTGTGTTTACTCAAAAATAAAAGGCAGCAGAAAAATAGGACCTCATGAACCTTCTGAGTAAACTTAATCTTACTTCAGATCTAGCGGCTGGCTGGCTGGCTGGCTGGCTGGCTGGCTGGCAGGCAGGCAGGCAGATTTTTTTTCTGGAGTATGTTAACACAAAAGATCTGAATACCAGGTTAGGGACATATTGTCATGGAGAATATCTATGTGATTGCTAAGAGTCAACACCAGTTTGATGGCAGATAATCAATGTTAACATTGAATGAAATATTTACACTGTTAATGCTGATCTGGAGGACTTCTACACTAGTGATTAATAGCATCATCCAGCAAGCACTGTGAAGATGCATCATTAATGCAAACGGGCTTTATATCACCATTACTCAGAGACAGCTGAATACTGGTAGATTTTGCTAGTACTTCAGTCAAAATTGTATTCTTATAACCATACTGCAGTGGGTGGGGCAAGGCTAAGAGTGCAAGGGTTATGCCATTCCTCCAAAGGAATCCATGTGGTTGGATGGAGTTAAAATATGATCCATGCATGGATTACTATTATTATTATGCTGCCTTTCAGGTTGGCACTACTCCCCAAGCAATGTACAAGCATAATGATCAATTATAAATAAATATAATATGTATTATTTGAAAATTAAGAATGTTCTAGTATCCTTCCTACAGAGTGCGTGGGTGGTAATGACCCTGTGGTGGTGGGAGGGAAGGAATATGTCTTTTTTTGTGGTGGTTGTCCTTTTTCTTCCCTCTCTCTTCAGGATTGTTTCCCACAGGGCAGATGGTAGTAATAGCCTTGGGGAAGGAGAAGAAAGAGTCCAGTTGAGTAGGCTTCTGTGGGTTCTGCAGTGCAAACAGAAGGAAGGACTGATTAATTGTTTTTTCATCTTATATGAATCTGTATAAGGGAACTTTTGCGAGTGGAAGGATTTGATTTTAAAAGATAGCTTAAGGAAAAGCATTAACATGTATTGTCGAAGGCTTTCACGGCGGGAATATGATGGCTGGTGTGGGTCTTCCGGGCTGTGTGGCCGTGTTCTGGAAGTTTTGTTTCTTAATGTTTCGCCAGCCATCGTATTCCGGCCGTGAAAGCCTTCGACAATACAGTGATAACATAAACTTATTTTCAAAAGAATGCACAAGCAGAACATAATGTGCCCTCATTAATAAGCCACCCTAATAAGCCTTATTAGTGGTCAGAAAATGGATTTTTGAATTCCCAGTAAGTGCTTACTTTTTTATAAAGTGTTTGGATATTTTCTGATTTTAAATTCAAGTAGGGCACTTCCTGCATTGTTCAGTATGATTTCTTTGTTGATTTTTTTTTCTTTGTGGACAGCCTGGAGGTTGCTGTGAGATGACAGATATAAAGGCAATTGATTAAATGTTTACTTGAGTTTCATTTCATTTTCTCCAGGTGCAGTTTGTTTAACATTAAATGAGTCAGTCTTCCATTTGTTTTGCAAACCCATGCATTTTGCTTGTGAAAACCAAGTAAAGTCTAAGGGTTTGTGCACTTTCCATTTTTGAAAGATCAGAAAATCAGAACACTTCCTGTCACCCAAATTTTAAACAAAGTATATGAGGAAAGGGGATGATAAATAACTTCATTTAAAGTAACCAACAATACCAAATGCTCTGCAATATGTATTGAATAAGGATACCTATTTTCTTCTACATTCTATCTCTACAATAACATGATTAAATATATCAATGAAGATACAATTTTTCAGTGCTTGACTATCTAAATTAAGCTATTCACTCAGAATTCCATATATTGTATCAGGTGAATCTGTTTAGACTGCCCAGAAATCAAGACTAAACACAACTAAATTTTCAGCCATATCTTGGCACTGGGGGAGGAAAAGTCTTATGCAATCATATAACTTTCTGACTGTATTTAAGAAAAAGAATCCAGCTAGCATTTTTAATAAATGCTTATTAGCTGCACAGCAGACAACCACAAATGAAAGCTCTACCTAGGAGTTCTTCTACAAAGACGATCACTTTCATGCATTGCTGTGACGAATTTGGAGAAAATCCCAGAGCTGGTGCAAACTTGCTGATTGTTTGTGCAGCTATTCTATTCTTAGGTAAGCAAAAAATGCATTTCAATTTCAGTTATGTGGCATGATTCAAAAAGAATTAAAACAACAGAATTCAAGTATCATGCTAAATCCTGTGATTTGATTGATTTTGATTTGGTGAATTATGGGTACCCAGTCATTATAGTTTTTAAACCATGGTTTATAGCTTAGCATACTGTGCAGATTTAGCCAATTGCGAATTAGTTAATAACAATAATTAAAACAAACCATGATTTAACACTATGTATGAATCCAATCTCTCTGAAAAGTTCTTCACTATTTTTGCATATTCCTGGTGTTGCTGGCTAATTTACTGGACCAACTAAGACCAATGCATGAGATCCCATTGAATCAGAAACATCACGTTTCTTGGGCAATAATAGCTTCTCTCATTTGCTATTCTACTGCACAACACAGTAATGTAAACTGCTACCTACCACCTATGTACAGGTAGTCCCCTGGTTAAGAATGCCCGGTTTAAGGATGACCCATAGTTAAGAATGGGGCCTATTGTAGCCAAATTTGGGTTAAATACACAATGATCCGAGTTAAATACACAATACTACTTTTATAGTATTATACAATAATATTGTTCCAGCTTACATACAAATTTGACTCAAGGGCAGACCTTGGGAA